TGCTTGGTGGTTTGAAAGGGGTTCTAAACTTTTTGTCTTTTGTTAGGTGTTGAATTGTTGTTAGGTGCCCAGAGTTATTTTACATAACATGCGCAGCCATACCAATTTTTTAATTGGAAGGAGGGAGGCAGGCAGGCAGGTAGGGGGGCAACTGGGAAAGGGGAAGGGAATAACAGAATATGTTAGACCAGTGACTTACTGGAAAAAAGTAGTGGCAAGAGGTTAATAACATGAAAGGAGAACATTTTGTCCCTGTTCTGCACATTTTTGACATGTCCCTGAAAAGCCAAGCACTGTAGACTGGGGCTGTTTACTGTAGGGCACAACGCACAAACATTTTTTAGGAATTATGCATGCTACTTAAAAAAGGTGAAGACACCAGTTGACAGCCCATGTATTTTTATGGGGTTGGTTTGTCATCTTCTGGTTTATCTGTTTGTTTTTTTACTTCCCAGTTTAGCCTACAGGCCCAGAATTCCAGGAGGCCTCCCATCCAAATATGAACCTGGAATGACCCTGCTTAGCTTTTAAGCCCAGCCAAACATTGCCGTAAGGCCACTAAAACAAATTGGAACTCTGAATGCAAATTATGGACATTTGTTCATGTAATTCCTTACACTCTAAATATATTATCATCTAATGGGACAGATTAATCCTCTTCTGTGCATTTTTATGGATCCAGAGCATACTTAAAGGTTCCTTCGGGAGCGATATCCTGGTTTCAAACAAGAAGCAAAAACAACATGATTGGTGCAAAGCACTAACCTTGAGATCAACTCCTAGTTTCGTTCCAAAACGGATATTTCGAACTGCATAAGGCATCTGGCTCATGCTTTCTGTTCCACCACATAGCACCACTTCTGATTCTTTAAGGCTAATTTCCTGATTAGGAAAGAAAAGCATGTTAGATTTGCAATATATATGTGAGACACAAAAAAGATAATTGCCTCCCAAAGCACTTGAGTCCATTATAAATTCAGGGGAAGGGTCTGATGGCAGTAATTTGCATGCATTCTCAGAAGTACCATGTGCCCAGACAAGATGATATGAACATTTGCTGTGACTCTGGTCATAGGATATGCAAACATTCACATCTGAACAGAAAATGATCAGCTTTACCGTGCTCATTTCACCTTCACGTTAGAAATTGCTAACAGAGCCCCAACTCTTGTGCATGAGACATTAGGATCACACGCTAGGCCGTGCGTTTGTCTCCAACAGATTTCCCATGAGCAGGGCCTCAAAGTAGCCTCTGTGCAAACCAGGAGAGATGCTAGTTTGCACAGCAATTGCAATGACAGACAGCCCTGAGTTGAAATTCCCTCCTCATCCTTAGGACCAACCACCTTTCCATAATCTTATAGAGAGGTTAGAAATCGCATTGAGTTCCTGGTTTCTTTTCCTAGCACTTGCAATAAACATTATATTGCCACCACATAGTATATTTTAAAGAGGCATGAACTTTCTGGAGAATTTTATACCAGTTCTCACAGACTAATGGTAGAATTTGTGATTGTTAGTTTGTGTTTTAATTGTGTACACCACCCACAGTCACATGGAAGTGAGAGGGGTGGCCATAAAAAATTCAGTAAACAAACAAACAAACAACTAAATAAAAGCTATCTTTGGCAAGCCTTAAAAAGCTTCAAGAGCGCCCCCCCCCCCCGTCCTATGATCCAATGCAAGATCTAGGAAGGGTATCTGTTTAGGGGCATTACTGACTCATTCAGTTCTGGGCAGAAAAAGGTGACTTATCATGCATGACTTTTCAATTATGGATCTCCAGGCCATTGCAGACTCCTTACAGCCCAAATCCAAGTACATTTGTGAAGTGCACAAATATCTACCACTTTTTGTATAACAGCTTAAGTCAAGTAAAAGTGGGGAAATAAATTGGATGAGAGGGTTTAATCTGTACCAAGAAGCAGATGACGTCTACCTTGATCGTATGGATCCAAGTACAATCTTCATTCAATTTGATTTTGGTTTCTCAATAGGAATTTCACTCAATACTAGGCTGACAAGGATCAAGGCAAAAGTGCACCTACAGCTTGAAAACTGATCAACTTTGCCTTCTAAACTATCAGATTGTTTCACTATCCTGAATGAGTAGGGTGATCTAAACATTTTTTTAAAAATAAGTAAATGAAAAACAGGTGAAGAATTCCAATCTTTGCATGACATGACGCAGATAAGAATGTATATGCACAAACCTAAATTGCACTGGAAAATGGGCTGACAGAGAACGTGGTAAAATAAATGAGTGTAACTAGTACCTGACATCCATTAACAATAGACTGGAAGCCTGATCCACACAATCTATTGATGGTTAAGGCAGGAGTTGGGATTGGCACTCCAACACGTAAACCAACATGTCGTGCAATGTAAGCAGCGTCTGCAGAACTCTACAAGAAAAAAACAGAGAACTCACCTGGCAAATTCTGCTTAAAAGCTAAGTTGCATGGTTGAAGATGACACTTCTACCTATTTGTGGAATTGAGGAAACCTGGACAAAATTTTGTTACTACAGGTAGTTCTCAGCTAATGACCGTAATTGGGACCAGCAACTCCACCAGTAAGCAACATGGTTGTAAAGCAAAAAATTACATGACTACACTGACTTATGATGGCAGTTCTGTTGCAGTTGTTAAGCGAATCATGTGTGGTCGTTAAGCACAATGTCATGTGACCACAACTTGTGACTTCCTGCTGGCTTCCCCATTGAGTTTGCTTGTTGGAAGCCAGCAGTGAGGGTCGGAAATGGTGATCACATGACTGTGGGACACTGTGATCGTCATAATTGCGCACCGGTTGTCAAGGAACCGAATCACAATCACATGGTTGTGGGGACTCTGCGATTCCCGCAACTTCGAGGACCGGTAGTAAGTCTCCTCGTTCAGCACCATAATTCTGAATGGTTGCTGAATATGTGGTTGCTAAGCGAGGACTACCTGTATACTGTTTTTTTCCTTCTTTCATTACTATTGTTTATGCAAGACTGTTAACTTACTCTTCAGAAAAAAGATGAATGAATTCAGGAAATGTTTTTGTTCAAACACATTTGTAATTGTGAACTTAATGCAAAGGTCAAACAGAAACTCAACTGTGAAGAAGCCAAAACACTGCTTGTAGTGCTTGGTGATACAGTTATCCCACCGACAATACACTCTACAATGCTAGCAAATCCAGCGACCATAAATGTTCCAAAAGAAACTGTTTGGTAAGTGACCTGATGGAATGGGATGTGCTCCAATTTATTTCTGATTCCTCTGTAATGAAGCAACTAAGCAAGCACAGAAACAGAATGACATGTTTGGCAAGGGCAACTGCCAAGTTCTACCAACCTGCATGACGTTGCCCACAATCACGCTGTCAATGATTTCTGGAGGCACTTTGCCAGCAGACAAGGCTGATCGGGCCGCAATCTCTGCGAGGTCTGTGGCAGTGAAGTCCTTGAGCAGGCCGCCAAAAGCCCCAAATGGAGTCCTCTTGGCAGAAACGATGAATACTCCTAGGAGGCAAAATGTGGGAAACACACACAGGGAAATAAGAAAGTGCCTTATATAAAATCACACCATTGTTCATTTAGATCACTGTTTCTCAACCTTGGCAACTTTAAGATGGGTGGACTTCGACTCCCAGAATTCCCCAGCAGTTTGACGTATGACTCAGGGCAGTCTACACAGTTGAAACAACCAGTAACACTTCAAAAATAAAATACCATAAAATATAATATGGCATAAAGCAAATTTCACCAGTGGCAATTCAACATCCAAACCCAATCAATCCAGGTGGGTTCCACAAGATCCCTCGGACATTTTTCTGTGCAGAGTTTAGATAGTTTCTCATACTCGTAACTAATAAAGTTTGTCTCCTTTTTTGTCAAATTCAGAAAATAAGGGATTACAGTGTCACATAAAACATTAACATAAATTAGGACTCCTTGATCTATCCTGAATATAATGGCACACTAGTTAGATACCTAAAAGAGACCCCTAGAGGTTCTGAGAATGTCATCAGAGTTTGGACATACATAGATTTGTTGGCTTCAGCTGGCACAGAAATGTGAGGCTTTTGTTGAAATGTTGAGTTAGCATTGAGTTGAATCTATCCCCTCTATGTACTGGGAAAATCTGCACATCTGGTTTGATGACTGCTCTTTCAAATTAACTGGTATCTTACTATAGTCCTTATTAGGGCTGTGCAAAGCTTCTGATTGAAAGCCAAAAAAAGTACTTGGGAACAAGCGTGTGTTCCTAGCACATGACTGCAACTCCTTTAACTAAATGAATGGGCTTTTTCCATGATTGTGCTGCGGCTGTGGAAGTCACTTGTGCAATTGCAGGAAAAAACATGGCTACTTTAAGGAGTTGTAGACTGGCACCCTGTGAGTCCTTCCATGCTCCAAAGCTCCTTTTTGCCTCTGAATCCAAAGCATTACACAGCCCAAGTTCTTAGCAGCTCTAAAGCTCCCATTTTAATGCCCTGGTAACTTAATGAATCGGGTTTCCTGGCTTTCCGACAGACCTACTTCAAAATATCGCAATCAGCAATATGGGCTTGACTTGCTGCTTGGCTGATCAGAGGAACCAAATACACTCATTCTCCAATAATATGCAAATGTGTCGGGTCGTATTCTTCCAAAATGACCAGTTCCTCAATATATTTAAAAATTAACATTTCAAGCTGCCTTCTTAAATCTTTCTATCCTGAGTCTTAAATGGGCAGTGTTCTTGATCACTACTTTTCCATGCTTTTTGAAAAGGAAACTTATCAATATTATATTAACAATCGCACATTTCCCCAGGGTGTGTTGGTCAATGTTCTTTCCAGATGAACTAAATGAGGCACAGGAATATAAACATGAGAATTATTATTTCAAGTTACATGGGGTTATTTTAGAAGTATACTACAAATAATAAATGCAGGCAACTTAATTAAAACCAATCAAAATGACAGTGTGGTAATATGCGTATTAGGAAGACTGAAGTAAGGAACCAACTTCTGAATTTTCCAGAAACCTTTTACTGAATTATAAGGTTCTTAACCAGTGTATGGTAGAAGGATTGCTTGATGTTTTTATTGAAAGATCTGCACTGGTTGCTAACTGCTTCCCCAGCATAATTTAAGATCTTGGTGTTAACTTTTAAATTGTTAAAAGGCTTAAGGCCTACTAACTAAAACAATTGCTTCGTTCATTTTAATGTGTTCAGCCGTTAATAACTGCGGGATATACGTTTTTGAAGATGTCTCTGCGATCAAAGGTCCAAATCTTTGGCACAAGGGAGAAGGCCTTCTCTGGCTTTATTTGCCAGTATGTGATGCATTCCTGTAGGAGTTGAGTTTGGCTCCCATTCTTTCAGTGTATGGAAAAGCAGTAAAGAGAGGCTGCAATTCTATGCATCTACCCCTTTCCCTCTGAGTTAAGGATTACATCAAATAAAAAATTGTGAATCGGTTTGTTTCCTGCTTTTGCATATGTACACACCTTTTGATCTTCCGTCTTGCCAGACTAAACTGGTGTTATATGAGCTTTGCTGCCTGAATAGACATTAGAAGTTCAACAGGAAGAGTTTCATTCCCCCAAACTTTAACCTCAGAAGCATACTTAATGCAGAAGCCTCAGATTGAAAAACAAAACACAGTCCTAGTACTTAATTACATCCCTGTTAGTCGAAATTACCTAATTCTTAAAGTTACTACACTCTTCTCAATTTCAAGCTATTAAATTATCCCTTCCTAAATAATGTAGCTCACAAAACATCTTTAACCCATTTTCCTGATGTTATTTTCCCTCAAAAGCCCACAATACTTGTAACTATTGTGAGGACTGTCTCTGTAATTGTGGGTTCTCAACATCATAGAATACAGCACGTATGTATTATCAGTTTTAATTTTCGGGTGCTGTTAAGAAAATGTGTACAGGAGAGAAGGCGATTGATCACTAGTCATTCCATTCACAAATGAAAATATTTAAGGAGTTATTGACTAGCTTGGGTTACAAAAAATTATTAGCCTCTAGTCATTAAATGGGAAAAGTGCCAAAGAGAGGATAGGAACAAACAAGGGCGACCATCTTTGCTTTTCCCAAGGTACTTATTGGCAGAAAAAATAGTAATTTTTTTATGATGGTTTTATGATGGGATGAAGGAACAATGGTTTGAACCTATGCACGTTTGTATACAGAAATTGGGCTGGCAGATAAACTAATGCCTGCAACTACAGTACAACTGTTTGCCAAAAACAGATTTTTGCACCCCTCTTATCTCTCCTACAGTTTGTGTGGTCACATTCTAAACAGTACAGAGGACCAGGTACTATAATAAAAGTTCTGGAAAACGTGATGGTGAGAAACATGATAAATTTCTACATTGAGAATTAAACGGAATGTGCCAGGACTTTGGGCTTGACCCAGTACAGCTTTTCTTAATATCCTATCAAACTCCACAAATTAACAATTCCTTAAATTATAGCAGACTGAATGAAAACTTTTCAACAGCTTATCAGGGAGCAGGGCCCCTCAGACATTAGACATTTATGGCTCTCAGACTTTAGACTTATAAACAAATATTGGCCTCATCAAGTAACCTTTGGAAGCAAGCTAGTTTTTGAAAATGAGATGGACATGATATGAACTGGGTATAGTTATGTTAGGAGCTAGGAAGAATCTAATCTAATGGCATTTTTTGGCAAGTTCATAACTTTGCAATTCTTTATGGACACCTCAACAGTACAACTTATAGTCAGCAGAGAATATAAATTAATAGATAAAAATAATGGAGACTTCATTAATTTAATAGGAGACATACTGGGTTTCTTAATTTCTCTAGAATTAATATTCATAACTACTACAATTATGGGAATAGTATTCTAAGGCATTCAATCAAGAACATTTAGGACCAGCATTTTTAGCTATCAAGCTTTGTAAAGCTAGGAAGGAAAAGAAAGGACAATGGGCATGAAAATAAGAGTTTCCCAGCATTGCTTTTATGGAGAAATTATCTTTATCAATATAATACATTTCAAATTCCACTTATGTCTAAACTGTCAAACACCAAGACCCAATTGTAGCAAAAAGCTGCTAGCCAAAATTAGTGTTCAAACTATCTGGGAATTAGAACATGAATTTTCAGTTGTATTTCTTTCTCAAGGGCATGGAAGGCTAACTGCAATCAGCCTGGTGATGTCCTAATCTCCTAGAATTCCAATCCACCCAACTCATAACATCCATACTTGGTTAATTATACATTGAATCCTGAGCTTTGAACCAGTTTTCTGGGTGAATTGAAAATTGTGATTTAGCTCTATTAAAAAACTTTCCATGTGACTGTGCAAGGTAAAAGTTCAAGATGCCCCCAGGTTGAGCTCAGCTTCTGGTGATTCCATGGACATGACCATGCAGTTTTCTGGGCAAAAGTATGGAAATAGTTTCCCACTGCCTCTTCTGGGGTGTTTTTCAATCTCTGGTGCCCAAATATTAACCAGGCCCAGCGCTTCACTTCTGAGCCCAGGCAAGATTGGGCAGATGCTGTCACTTGTTGAGACATGCCACAATAGAGAGGAGGAATCCAAAACTCATCCACAGCTTAGCGTTATGTCTACCCACTGATTTTGCTTTCAGATGCTCACCTACATTCATTACAAGGAGTGACACAGAAAGACAAGGTTAGAAGCGTAGAGCAAAAAATGGTAGGGCTAATTCAAAAACCATTGATCAAAGCAAATTCAGATGTTCCTCTGCAAAGTGTGATGCTGCAGAAACACTCAAGCTTGAAAAACCAGCTTAAAAATTCATGCCAATACCTTTACATGGCAGAAGGTGCCCTGCCATAATGTTTTAAAGCCTGTCTTGCATGTAAGTCTCCAAATGCGTGCATCCTATTTGCAGGTTCCAAAATTAGGGGGGGAAAACCATCCACAGATCGCCATTAGTAACTCTTAAGAAACTTGTCAAGGTATTATAATTGCTGAAAATCTCACCCTTGGCATAACTGAACTCTGGCAGAATCACAGCTTATTTGATTTCATTTTACTGCATTCTATTTTTATTCCCAAAGCTGACACTCAAAAGTGTCCTTCAAAACAAAATTTAAAATATAACATTACTTCAAAAATGAGCCTCGGTTCCATTCTCAGCAACTCATGTCTTTGTGGATAAATAAATAACTGAAATTCCTTGCTGTCAGACAAGTAACAGATGATGTACCTTCATATACACACATCTGCATATTTTGAGAGTTTGAAGCATTCCCCCCCCCACAACTTTGCCAGAATATTCTCCAAAGTACTCTAGAACTGTAAAATTACAGATGCACAATACAGATAAGGGTAGTAGCAATGGGATGCTGGAACACAGCCATGACAATCTTTCACCATTCACTATATGTCCTAGGGCTACTGGAAGTTAAGCAACATCTGGAGGACGCTCACTTCCTTTCAAGCATTTCCTTCTGAAATTCTGAGAGTACTGAGATAATCTATCGCTCTACCTGCAAGGGTAACATCTCTCTTCCCACCTTCCAAATATTCTCACATACGGACCTGGGAGTCCCATGTATGCCATCAATTGTCAATTCAGCCTTTCCCATTCTAACCGCCAAACCTGCAGGACTACTATTCCCCAGCTTTATGTATTGTGAACTGGATTAATGGGTTTGGAAAAATATTTACATTTGAAATGTCCAATACAAAAGTAATATTCACAGGGTTTCTTATTTAATAAATCTGCTTAAAAATTAGCCTCAGCTAACTGTAGTCTGATTTTTGAACCATTATGCTGTGTCATCGACTTGGACTTTTAGTGTCCACATAGACAGGCCTTCTCCAAGATGCCTGCTTTTTAGCTTTGGTCTTAACGTTAATTTTTGTGGAGATCTTTTTTTTGTAAAAACCGCCGCCAAATACCAACGTGTTTTGTTTCCAGGTCAGAAGAAAGTTTCATTAGTGTGCTTCATTCATCAGGACTGCAAACCTGAAGTTTCTAAGAAGCCAGCCTCCTCGGGCACAGCTGGCTTTACTTCAGTGTAAACACACACCAGCTCTGAACTAAAGTCACTACCTCTCAGCCTCGATGAATATAATCCCAAATTAACTTTTAGCGCATTTGCACGCAGTAGGATAAGAAAGTTAATCAAAAGGATTGCAAGAAAAGGAAAGAAAAGAAAGTGATTTCACTTCCACGCACTAGATATGGAAGCCAGTAGCCAGCTCTCCTGCGCAAGACTGCTGGTCTTCAACACGTCGCTAAAGTCTTTGCACTTGTTTCCCACGCCTGCCGTCTCGCAGGGAACCGAGCGGGCTTCCAGAACTTCGGGGAAACGAACGCGAGGAAGGCGCGCGTGCCGCGCAATAGCAGGGCATAAAACATTCGTGTCCTCTTCCGTGCGTGGCGCTGGGCGTGCTTAAGGGAATACACTCCATTCCCAGCGGCTGGAGGGGGGAGACCTTTGCAAGACCCAGCGCTAAAATCAAGGTCAGAAAGGACGAGGGGAGCAGCGGGGGGTCCACGTTTCGGGGCTGCCTTACCTCTGAGCAAAGCCATGGCGGCGGCGGCTGCCTCTCCTCCAACTGCCAACTTCTTTCGCTGGACTCCTCGGCTCGCAAGTCGCAACCCCGCCGCCCCGCCCTTCCCCCGCTTACTCCTCCTCCCTCACCCGCGCGTGCTCCTCGCCGGGGGAATCACTTCCAGCGGGAAACGTGTCGGACGGCGGACGGCGGAGGCGGGGCTTGGTGGGGCTGCAAGACAGGCAAGAGACGGACGGAGGCCGGGCGTTCCCTTTCGGGGAGCCCTGGGCCCCATAATCCTCAGCCGGGTAGGCATGCTTGGAACTGGACTCCCCCGAACTGGGGAAACTGCCCCAAAGTAGGTGGAAGCCATAGCACCCCTCTGGACACGGGCAGTCTGGGCCGTGCCTGCTGGGGATTATGGGAGAGGGAGTTGGCGCCCAGCCCCGTCTGCGGAGCCCAGGCTCGGCTAGAGCCCCTCAGGAGACGGGAGGAGAGATACGCGGGGAGGTAGCAGCTCTCCTCCACCCCAATCCTGGTTGTGGATGATGGGAGCTGGAGTCCAACGCTGTGGGGAG